CTCTCTCTCTCTCTCTCTCTCTCTCTCTCTCTCTCTCTCTCTCTCTCTCTCTCTCTCTCTCTCTCTCTCTCTCTCTCTCTCTCTCTCCCCCAATGGCATTCGCTCCCACCGTCGTAGATCTTGCGACATTAGGCGAGGAAAAGACCTTCAGACTGTTGCTACGATTGAGGTACGTGTTCTTTCTTCCTTAATACCCTCCTCACCCTTATGGTGAGGAATGGCATTCACTCCGGCCGCCGTTGATCCTGCGCCTTGAGATTGGCGGGTGTCGATGATTCGTCGATCCGCTTGCCAGATCGAAGCAAAGGCGCGTCTTTGGTATCAGGTCCACCATAATGATGAGCGTCGTCAATCATGTTATCTTGACGTCTTGACGAAGGTCGTCGTGATGGCAGACCTGCCAGCAAGGCGGGTCCTCCTCCTCACGACAGAAGAAAATAGAAGGAAAAAAACACTGCAAAAATAAAAGGAAACAATAAAAGGAAAAAAACACAAAAAAAAAACAAAAAAAATGTTGATCTGTGGGATAAGTTATTTGCTTTGTGGCAATTGGATTATTTGTGAGACATCTGCTCTGTTTCACTGATAGGCTTTCTTCCCCTCTGAGGTTTCGTTTCCTCTTCCTTTTCTTTATCTCTTAGAGTTGGACCCCACAGGAATGCGGAAAGGAAGAATGTTTCCGCGAAACTGTTTCCGGGACCCCACATGCAGCGCAGGACGTTCTGGCAAAACCGAAATGTCTTCCAAATACCGGTTTCCGAGACCCCACAACCCGCAAATAATGGCGTGGAAGAACGCTTTCCATCGTTTCCACATCGTCCGCGGCGTGGAAAAGTGGCTCCGGAGGACATCTCGCCGCGATTTTGTGCCGAAAGTTGAGACTGGGGGAGGGAGTGCGCAGGGTACTTTCCAAAGTCACGCCCACCGTTTGGACCAGCAAGTGTCCGGCCCCTTGGCCTAGCCCGGTCGTGGAGCAGTGAGCAGGCAGGACATGCATCGCACGTCGAAACCGGGCCCAGGGCTGTTGGTCCCTCGGAGCGGGGAAGGAAACGGGCGGTTGTGGCCCCGCCATTTTGAATTCAAATTCAAATTCGAACGGGGGTGCGCCCGGCGTTGTCGTCAGCAGTCCACGGATGCAGGGAACTTCCACCACTGTGCACGTTCACGACGGCCATTTGCTATTGTACCCGACACGTGGCTTCTGCTGGTCTGTCGTGCCGTGGAGTCATGGATCAACATTGCTGTCGTGCGCCTCCCATGAACGTAGTCCGCCATCTCCGTTGCCGCACTGTGCCATGGCGGTCGGTTGGACGACGTGTGCATGGTCTCGCGGGGGACTTCATGCATCGTGGGTTTGTGGCGGATGTGCAACCGCTGTGGGGACGTAGTCGATGTGTTGGAGTACCGCTTCCCAAATCCATCTCCTCCATCCGCCGAGCATTGTCCACCCACGTGCCCTCCCTTGGTGCTGTGGAAGTTGGGAGCGTTGTGCGTGCTGTTCGCCCGAACATCAGGAGTGTCGTCAGTAGAAGCTTCCTGCCTGAAGCGAACGACATCACGCATGCAGTTGAACGTTGTGGCGGTCGAGGGCGGATCGTCGAGAAAGGGCTGAGAGACCGGGACGTGGCTGTTGCGGGGACTGTTTATGCACGGTCGAACGCCGCACACCCGCCACTAACGACCGACACGACTGCTGCATAAGATTGTGTTGTGGGTGATGGCAGGGCTTGTCCGTGTCGGTGCCTGCGAGATTCGACCGCCACGACGGTGATCGTCATCGACGTCGGCAACCGTGAGAGGGGGGTTGTTGGTTCACGCATGTTCCTCTGGGGCTTGTTTATGATTGTGTCCGTGTTTGTTCTGTTCGCTGTCATTGTTGTCCTTTGTTTGGGCGTTGTAGTGGTCGCTCTCCTCGCCGCGCATCAGTAGCGGTGTTGTTCAGTTGTAGAACCGGGTATCTAGGGAGACGTGCGAAAGCAATGGAATGACGTAGTTTCACTGATGATCTGTACAGTGATTTGGGGGGGTCTTGTCAGTCCGCTGACGCAGGGGGTGACGCGATTTTTTGCGCACAACCACGCACGGAGTCAGTGCAATCGGTGCCTTCATGGTCTTACGTGCCGCAGCCCGGTGTCCGTAGAGGTTCGTTCAACGGTTATGGCCGGGAGAGATCTGCCCCGCAAGGCGGTAACAGCATGGCGCACACGCCATTACATTCGCGAGGTTTCCGGGAAGGGCCAGCCATGGCTTGTGCCAACATTTGGGGTTCCCCTCCGGATCTTCCACGGCAGTTGTCCCAGCCTCGGGCGGGGATGATGCCGCCCATCTCGCCAGTTCCTGTGGGCCGAACGACAGGAGGGGGCTGTTCCAACCACCCAACTCCGCATGGGATGAGTGATCAGCAGTCGACGGAACTGTCTGCGATGGGGGGGGGGGAGAGTGCTTCAAGGTGCGTCACCCGCAATCAGTATGTTGTCGGTCGTTGGAGCTGCACAAGCGCAGAGAAACTCGAAAGTCCACCAGAGGAGAATGTCGGTTGACGTGAAGGCGAGGGGGGTGGACAGCAATTCACCTGACCTTTTTTGCGCAACGGACAGCAGGGGATATCGACAGTGGCACGAAGACGGCAGGAGTGATGCCAGAACTGGGTTTCCGGGGAACACGGCCAGCGAGACAGGGGAGGCTGTTATCGAGGGTACGGGGATGGGAAACCATGGGGAGAGAGCGGAGAAGGATGACGATGATGGAACGACATCCGCGGCGCCGGACAAGATTGATGAAGGAGTCATGATCGGACCAAACCGCGTCCCGCGGGTGGACGGAAAAGGAAGGGGGGCAACTCACCACGACTGCCGAAGAAGAACAAACCCTGGTCTTTGGAAGAGAGATTGGACCTCGCAAAGTTCGCCGGTGAGGACGACGCAATGATGGCCGACGCCGAAGGTGCTCAGGCGTGCATGACGAGGTCGAAAAGATGGGAGTGGGTTGCAGGAAGGCTTGGAGACATCGGTTACTCTAGGACAGCGGAAGACTGCAAGAAGAAATGGGCGGAGCTGGTGAAGAAGGTGAGGGAGATACGGGATGCATGCGAAGGGTCGGGGAAACAAGCATACTGGGACACCACGACGGAGCAACGGAGGAGGCTAGGGGTTAGCTTGACGTTCGAGCGGCAGATGTGGGACGCTATGGAGTGGTATCGGTTGAAGAAGTCGGTGACGTGTGACGACACACTGGCTTCGGAAGATTTGAGAGGGGGCGGATCACCGAGCGGCGGCGAGGCGGGTTCGGAGGGTGGTGGGACAGATGCTTCAGACACCGCCACCAAGACACGACGTACGTCAAGTGGGAAAGCCCGGGGGGGTGATTCTCCAACGTCGATGTACGGCATGGCATCGGTGATGGAGGAGTCAACGAGGGCGTTGTGTGAGGGTTTGGACAAGACTGCCAGCACATTGGCTCGTGCGTCGACGGATGGATCCAGGATGGTTGCCACGGAGATCGGGGTTGTCGTCGGCGCGATGCGGCAGGGCAATGCCGTTTTGGAAATGCTTGTCGGGGTTATGGCGGCGAGAGGTGCAGGGAGTGGTCGGGGAGCAAACGGCAAGTGCGATACGGACCCCTCCACAAGGTAGTGACCGACCGTCGGCGACGTGGCTTCCGATTTCGATCCACCTTCGGAAAGGAGGGGGGGGGGGGGAAATGGGGGAAAACTTTTTTTTCTTCAGAAAAAGAAAAGGCGCAGCGCACGAACAGGGGTGCTGCTGTGTGCCTGCTCCGCGTGATGTGCACTATAAAAAGCCGTCATCCCTGTCGTTCTTACAGTGTGGGCGTATTCCATTGTGCTGCGTCTTTTGTTGCGACTGACACCGGTTGTGGCGCGCTTGTGTGTGTGTGTGTGTGTGTGTGTGTGTGTGTGTGTGTGTGTGTGTGTGTG